ATTACTAGGAGTCTGGTGGCACCTTAAAGACTAACAGATTTATTGGGCATAAGCTTTCGTGGGTAAAAACCCTGAAAGCTTATGCCCAAATAAATCTGTTAGTCTTTAAGGTGCCACCAGACTCCTAGTAATACTGGTACTCACACCAAACAGTAAAGTGAGAGAATCCTGTGTAGAAGAGTCTTAAATCTATTGAACAGAAGTCTGCATCATTTGAGATTTGATAATACAAGTGAATCAACCAGAGAAATTCTTCCTCAGAGCTAGAACATGGCCGCAGATCTACATGAGTGGTGAAACCAATGACTTCTCTTGCTCCATAACTTATTGAATTGTTGAAGATTATTTGTCTGGGGGTAGGAGAAACACGTGAGGATGTGTGTCCTGTTTGTTTAAATCTTCATATATAAAAAATAAAAATATGTCAAAAAATGTTAGGTATCTTAATGATAGGTGTAAGTGTCACTACCACTCTGCCAACAATGTACATATAAGGGTATATGAAGATAAAAGGCAGCCTCTTTCCAGGGAAACTAAAAACATTGGACCAGATTCTGAATCCTGATATGTGCTTATTGCTCTTGCTGAAGTCAGTTGGATATGATCTTGCACATTTTTCCTCTTCTCGCCCACTCCCTTCCAAAATTGGTACTAGTATGTTTACATACACATACACCTAAGTATGCTTGTATGCTCTAACTCTGACTCCAGTAGAGGTGAAATACAGAATTAGGAAGAAAAATAGAGAGGGAGCGTGTATTGTGTATATGCACACTTGTGTGTCTTGGCGGGTTAACATTTTTTCCTTGTATAATTTCAGCATCTTGTTTGCATATGCATTTTGCATCTCTAGTTATTTTTCTGCATATGCATATCTACTGTATGTGAGGTTTTATAGAGCAATGTGACAGCAGAGCTTAGTGTTTTACTGAATGTTTTCTTGGTGCATATGGTCTGACATGGCTGAGCAGCCACGGTGAGATTTTGGAGTCTATTAAACTAGCTCATTAAAAAGATCAATCTGTTTCTGCAATAACACTGGGAGCCATCAGTCACTGAAAGAGAGAAAAAATGACACCTGAGGAGACAACACATTTTGATAATTTGTTCATGACATGTCATGAACAAAGTGTTTACTCTACCTTGTTTACAACTTTTTGGGCTTATATCCTGCTGTCATAGGGCTAAAAAAGTTGGACTAACAACTTTTTTGTGTGAATGAATTCTTTGCCTTAAACCTCTACATAATTTTAAATAAATTTACTGTGTAAATTTGCTGCTGTTTACAAAGAAATTAATCCTGTATTGAGGCTGCCCTAAAAGACTGTTATTGTGCAGTATAGAAGCGTGTCACCCAGTACAGGGGCAGGCAAACTTTTTGGCCTGAGGGCCGCATCGGGTTTCGGAAATTGTATGGGGGGCCGATTAAGGGAGGGGATCGTGGCCCAGCCCCCACCCCCTATCTGCTCCCCCCCCCGGGACTCCTGCCCCATCCAACCCCCCCTGTTCCCTTATGGTCCCCCCGGGGACCCCTGCCCCATCCACACACCCCCGCTCCCTGTCCCCTGACCACCCCAGGATCCCCACTGCCCCATCCAACCCCTCCTCTCATTCCTGACAGCCCCCCCGGGACCCCTGCCCCATCCAACCACCCCTTATCCCTGTCCCCTGACTGCCCGCAGAACCCCTGCCCCGACTGTCCCCTGCCGCCCATCCAACCCCCCTCCTTCCTGACTGCCCCCCTGGAACCCCAGCCCCCATTCAACCCCCTGTTCCCCCCGACTGCCCCGACCCCATCCATGCCCTTACCGCCTGACCACCCCCCCGAACTCCACTGCCCTCTATCCAACCCCCCCTGCTCCGTGCCCCCTTACTGCGCTGCCTGGAGCGCTGGTGGCGTTACAGCCGCGCCGTCCGGCTGCAGCCGGGCCACACCGCCGCCTGCAGCCGGGCCATGCTGCCGCCGCCAGCACACAGCACAGAGACCGGGTCAGGCCGGGCTCTGCAGCTGCACTGCCCCAGGAGCTCACAGACCCACTACCCAGAGCATTGTGCTGGCGACGGAGCGAGTGAGCTGAGGCT